AAAATTCAATGATTTAATTTACAAAGAAATTTCAACTAACCTGTCCACAAAAGCATGATGAAGAAGAAAAATAGGATCATTGGCTGATCCAGAAACTTGGGACATTGTTCCATTCATGTACATGTGTAAGGCATTGTGCATACTGCTTTGAGAAGCATCTGCTATCCCAGTGAGTGGACTAGCAAATCCTGTTGATAAAAGGGAAATGAAAAATAATTATTTTATATAAATTATTGAAAATTTAAGTTTTTTTCACTTGGCTTATATCTATGGTGGAAAACTTGATTCTAAATAAATAAAAGCAATAAGAAAATTATTTTGGTGATGGGATTCTGATTATGACGGTGTTCAATAAATCGTTGTAGAATGGTATTTATCTTAGGTACATTTTATGGATTAGCCACAGAAAAAGACTGAGAAAATTTGTGCTCCCTCATGTTGTTTCTGTTATTATTGCCCTTTGATATTGTTAAGTCCTAAGAACCTTAATAATAACATTTGATCTCACGTCTGTAATAGCACTGAGAGGAATTATTTTCAGTTTTATTTGTCTTCTTGCTTTCTGATTCTGTAGAATATTTTACATTTTGTTTTTGGCTCCAGAGAAGCATAAACTTTGTGGCCAACTTTATTGTCTTTCATCTCTAATTATCCTAGGGACATCGGGTCACAATGTTTTAATTTGGGGAGAACATTCCTTCCACACTTAAGAGCTTGACATGATTAATTTGACACAGAGTTTTGAATCATCAAACAAATTATGTCCTTATATTATGACTTTCAAAAAATTATAGAGGTAAAGGAATTCTATAAGTTTAAGGATTGAATGAGAGGTCATGGATCCTAGAGAAAAAAAATCATGTCTGTCATATCCTTAGACAAATGTAATTTCTTATTGTGTGTTAAATGTATATCCTTATAATCACAGACAAGTGTGCCACTTGTCAAGGAAACTTCTTTTCTGTAGCAGAGAAAGAGTATTAAGAGAGCCACAACTGGTCAAATGTAAAGAACTAGTGTCTAGTGTCTGTGAGATGTACAGTCCCGAGTAACACATCTGCAGTGTAATCTCTACACCTAACTCTCAGGAAACATAGTGGAACAGTGCTAGAGAGAACATTAATGTGTCTCTCAATTCTCACCAGAGAAGTTTCCTTATGTAACCGATGACGATTAACACAGAGACCCACAACTGGCCAACATGCAGAGAACAAGAGGCTGCAGAGTGCTTGTCCCTGAATAGTTAAACCATATCAAACCTCTTTCCCCAGAGGCTCATGGATCATTGTTGAAGATAGCAGAGGAAAAATTGTCAGAGTCAGAGGTAGTAGATGACCACACAGAAACAGAATTTTCCAGAGAACTTTTCAGTTACTCAAATGGACTCACAGCAATGATGACATCATACACAAGCCCCATGCAAGCTCATATCATAAAAAAAAATCTTATCATAGATATGAGAAAGTGGGTAAGAGATCCCAACCCAATCAAAGGAAACATTGGCAAATGATGGCTGGTGGGAGGGAAAGAGTCAGTCTTTTTCAAACATGGGACTCTTGGTTGGTTAACTAGGCTCCTGTGGATGGACTCATATACTGAAGGACATTTGGAGACACAAATTAGACTCTATAGACCTTATTATATACATAATATATTTATATAATAGAGTACATTAAATTGTGTGGGGAGCAATAAGGGGAGCTGAGGATAGAGAGGGATTTTGAAACACCATCAAATTCTATCATAGGAAAATCACAAAATTTATTTTGTAAGTTTTTCCGTTGACTACTTATGCTCTGTTTTATGTCAAAAATCACATAATTTTTGTTAAAATCAGCTAAAATCAGCTTCATGTGAAAGGAATAAACTGACAACTCATCTAAGAATTCTTTGATGAAGACAATTTTATGAATTATTTATTTATATACCACATAACTTGTAAAGATTGTTTCTTAATCATTAATGTCATCTTTCTTTGCAGTATTGGCACCAATACCTGGAATTCTCCATACAGTTGTCACCCTGGAAGTTTTTATCCCTTCTAAGAGCACACTGTATTAAGAGTAGAAACAGGTTGTTTTTCTTCAAAAATATTGGAAAAGAGAATATGAAAGGTGAAGTAATAAAGAGAAACCTTCATTAGCCTTGTCAATTGCATTTATTTTATAAAAGAACAGGGGCTGGAGAAATGGCTCAGCGACTAAGAGCACTGACTGCTCTTGCAGAGGAGCAGGATTCGATTCCCAGTGCCCACACTGTGGCTACAAACCGTCCTTAAGTCCAGTTCCAGGGGAATCCGAAGCCCTCTTCTGACCTCTGGGGCATTGCACGACAAGGGTGCACTCACATACATGTAGGCAATACACTCATACACATAAAATAAAAATAATAAATAAAGGGACTGGAGAGATGGCTCAGGGGATAAGAACACTGGCTGTTCTTGCAGAAGACATGGGTTTGAATCCCAGCACCCACAT